GTCACTTGTCGATGTATACCAGAAGAAGCCTCAACTTGGGAGGATGCGAAATTCATCAGAAAATTAATTCTTTACTGCATGGATGCTTAGAGGGCAGCTGTTGACCTAGAGCCGGGACAGGTAACAGAAGACACTTTAGACGGCTCGGATGCAACAATACCAATTCTGTTATGTGAAAATAACGGTTGTAATCATTTACCTTTTGTCCTGTTATACAACGTTATCGACAGTTGGAAACTCTCCCCTCGCATCTCTCTCAAATAAAATAATCAACAAATAGACAAGAGAGACAGATATAGATGGAGCCTTTCTTTGTTAGGACCTTTACAATGGACTGACATGATTATGGGCCGCTTATTTCTCTTGATTTGACGGTTTAGATATACTTATACTAAGATTCTCAAGAAAAAAAGATATACTTATACTACATTAATCCTTTAAGTAGTATGAAATAGTATTTTAAAATATTATTAATTATTGTGGGTATCATGGAAAAAAAGTAATAACAGACTGTAATTTCATTGATCTATAAGGCTGAAATGAAAAACTCATTCTTTGGCGAAAAGAAAATTTATCATTCTTTTAGGAAAAAAGAAAATTAAAACATTCATTTTTTCATATATGTTGCTCGTCTTCTATTTTCTCCCATGTTCTTCTCCGTACTGGTCGTTCCCGGCGGCACCACGGTGGATTGAGATCAGGCGACGGTGAACTGGCGAGATGCGTCCTCCTCCGCATCAGGCCCTCGCTGGAGTGGACGGTGGAGGAGGACGCGCGCCTGGAGCGCCTCGTTAAGGAGAAGAAGGGCCGGAGCCGCGTGGCCTATGACACAATGATGCATTCCCCTCAGCAGTGCGGCGACAGCCAATAGGTGGCGTGAACACCTCGCCTGCGACCTCTACCACCGCCCCTTCACTGTACAAGGAGTTGCAGCGCCTCGTTCCTGTGCCACGCCGGCCGCTGGAAGGAGATGAGGCGCGCAATGCACGACAAGGGTTAGTATTTCTGGTGCCTGATGAACGACAAGGAAGGAACAAGGTTGGAAACTCGGGAAGCCATGCTGTCTCACAAATCTCTTTTCATTTTCGCAACCAAACAGTATTTGGAATTTGGTAGTGAGAGAGATTCCTCACTTGTGATTCCTATGCCAACCAAACACAAAATTTGGTGTTCATGAGCAATACAAGTCCTTTTTAGATTTTGTGTTGGAACCCAATTCGATTCATTGGAGGCGGCAATTCAGAGATTCAAACGGACCCCAAGCACTTTCTTTCGTTCTATGACCTAGCTATATGTTATCTTAAGTCATTACTCCAGCTCCAGTTCAAAATATTTATCCCTGCATTTTCCTTAATTGTTCTCCGATTTCTTTCCTACTCGAGCTGGTCTCGACAACTGTCTCAACAAAATTTTCTTCCCCCATAAGCATCGGAAGTTGTCTTGAGGATTATGTCAAGAATTTTCACATAACCAAACACATATATGAGATCTGCAGTAATCTGAAATGGATAATAAAAAAGAAATCAAATAAACCCAATCATATAAAATTCCAGAAGGTACAACAATCAATACGCAAATAAATCATAAAGAAGCTGAAGTTCTTGAAAATACAGTACAATATGTACCGACTACTTGTGAGTTAGCATGTTCACAGGGCAATACCAACAAATTAGAAATACACATAAATTACACATGGTTGCAGACAAAACTACTTGTTGATGAACAATAATGGGATCTAATTACATGTGTAAAGGATGCTACAGAAAAGTAATGAAATGCCTCAAGTATCACTACAAAACCGTTGAATTTAGTAACATGAATATTTGACCATAAGTGCGAAGTACTTTGGTAGGAAGTTTAATCACTGGCCATTAAAATAAAAATAGTGCATCCAATAATCATGGGCCAACACGGGGGCACTGTAGCATGCCTCACTACTGCAGTGTCACTCTACTGTAGCATCGGCTAGGGTTTGGAGATTAGTTTTCCTCATTTGTTGGGATTAGTTCCTTAGGAGTCAAGTTACCTCATCTATATATAGATGGGGATTGTATCCTAGTTCCCAGCCCCCTTCTCCTATCCCTGCCCTTGTGGTACGGTTGCCGCCTTGGACGAGGTCGTGCCGCTTGGGTCCAGGGCAATCTAGTTCGGTACATGACAATTGGTATCAGTTAGCTTTGGTTTCGATCCCATGGAGGTTGCCGCCGAGAAGCTCATAGAATTGGTCGCACAGTTTGATGATCTGGCCAGGCGTGTCAGGAACCTCGAGGAGAAGCCCCCTGCTCTCCGTGCCGGCACTGGACGAACCCCCTGTTGTGGTGCTGTCGGAGAAGATCAAGGTACGACATTTTTGTGCTGTGCCTACGCCACCAATGCCCCTGACTCCTTGTTGGTTGCTGCACCAAGTGTACAGGAGGTGTGTGCATTAGAGGGCACACTACAGCAAGTATAGATCACGTGGAGAGAGGTGGAGAAGATGCAATCTGTTGGTTCTTGGGATTTCTATGGAAGCCGGGTGAAACAGAGACTCTCATGCATGTGGATTACTCCAACAAATTTAGAATTTTCCATTATTCACGTGAGGAGATCAGGGAAGTGCAGTCATGCATGCAACTTTCAAGACACGTCAATTTTCTTTTCTGGAAAAAAACAAGACATACATGGTTCCTGGAAATCAATTTGGAGATAAGTGTAATAGTTGGAGATAATGTTGACCAGGAGTCAGGGGCATTTCTGCCTACTTACCACTTCACTAGATGTGTGCATGGGCGAATTCAGAGGGAGCCTCTAATCGTTCTCAAGGTTATCTTTCCAAGGTTTTGGTTGGGGTCCTCCTACAGCTAAACATGGAACAATGATGCAACACGGTAGGTTGATTCTCAGTTTATTTGTAGGTTTATTAGTAGACAATAAAGGATAATAAGTCGAGATGTAAAAGGCTTAGTATCATGTTCGGTTGAGTAGAGTCATAGTCATAGTCATGGAAAGAATAGCCTGCAGCAGCTCGAGGACGAGCTGCAAAAAAGAGGGTGCAATGTCATGGGCCGACACAACTGTAGCACGCTCGTTACTGGCTAGGGTTTAGATATTAGTTTCCTTAGTTGTTGGGATTAGTTCCTTAGGAGTCAAGTTACCTCATCTATATATAGAAGATGGGGATTGTATACTAGTTCATTGAGCAATCAAAGAGAATATCTATTATCCCAGTCCCCTTCTATCCCTACCGTTGTGGTGCGGTTGCCGCGTCGACAAGGTCGCGCCCCTTGGGTCCAGGGTTCGGTACATGACACCAAAGGAAATGATTTAATGGCAACCTATCAAGAATATAATGAGTTTATGCTCCTTTTCATAAATATTGATAGTACAACATAAACATAACTGGAGAATTAGAAGTATAAAAATATGGATTATTTACTAATTGAGTAATTGTTTTAAATGGTATACTATGTAAATGCATTGTTACAAATTGACATGGATGTCAACAGCAAGAGTTAAAAGCATTTACTCATCCCAAGTAAGGTATGGTCTGCTAGAGATGAAACCCAGAAAGAACTACAAAGAAAAGTATATATATAAAAGGGAAAAGTAGATCCACCTCTAGATTTAGTTTGCTGACGTTAAGACACAAAACTTACTTCAAATTTGAGCTAAGTTTTGTGTCCTAATGACATCAATATAAATTTGGAGGGAGTGTTAAAAATGTAAAACATGAAAATAAAAGTTTGATTTCCTAGATTGCTAACAGAACATTGATGCACATGCACGATATTGCATTATTGATATTTGAATCAGAGGACAATATTGTTGAAGATTTCACGGAAGGATTTCAATTTCTAGTGCACCACCAATTTATGGTTTAATTTCAAACACCATATGCTAATAATGATAGAGAATTTCAACCGTAAACTCCAAAATTCAATAGTCATCAATGCTATCAAAATGTAAGCAGAACCACTATCAATTTACTTGGATGATTTAAAAGGACTGAAGCGGAATCGACAAACCTTTCAAATCTAGGAATGGCTACCACTAGTTCTCTGAAGTCTATTTTGTCTGTCTTAATGGAGCACGCCAAAAAGATATTCTAATATTTAGAGGTACATGAGGCAGGCATTTAATCAATGTTTACAGGCATTGAGCATGTCAATTGTTACAATGCTTTGAATGGCATACCAGTGAAGCAAAATAACAGTGAAGAAATCAGGCTCACTAATACCTGTGCAATCCGCAACTAGGTGCATCAAGACAATGTGTAAGACTGCCTAGACCATTACCATGGTATGTGTTGCTATACATTCACAGATTTAGGAAAGCAGTAAACAACTCTTTAAGCGCTCAAATCATATGCTACAGCATAGTCCATGTCAACACTCCAATTCTATGGCACTCAAGTACAATTGGATAAACTAAATTGTTCTTATAGAATAGGACAGACTTCTATTTCATGGGGATGACATATGTTAATGATATACTCAGGTAAAATTGGCCTTTAAAACAGATGGGTAGTTTTTATTTTATAAGTGCCGTGTTTTTTAAGCCATAGGTGATTCACTAATTAAACCTATTCCAAATCTGAATTATTATGGTATATCAAGAGTATCGGAATATAGAATAGCATTGCAATAGCAAGGAGAGTATAATACCTCACTTGTGGAGACATTGATTCCATATGTTTTCAAGTCCCCTAGCAGTTGCTTGCTCAGTGGGAGAAAATAGTTATCAGTAATCTTATTTCTTTCCTCGGATATAAAATGAGGCATGACATCCTTTAGTCCCCAAATAACCTCTTCCACAACTTGGTCACCTGTCTAGCATTTGACATCCTGAGAAACTATGTCAACATTAGAATGCCACATTTGACTGGAATCAGTACTGATGACAAAAAGGAAAAATGTTGAGGGAATAAAAACTCACAAGTTTTGATTCGATAACAGCTTTAAGTTGTGTGTCTTGAACAACTAATTCCCTTTTAGCATTGCAGAATCTAAGAATGAGCTGTTCTAGTTTGTCACCAGGGCCAAATCACTATTACGGGTAACAGATTTTTCATCAACACTTACAAAACCAATGGCAAAGACAATCTGACATGATCCAAAAGAACATTCATCAGACTATGATAGTAGGTGACACATACAAAATATTAGAGCCCTGAGCGGTTCAAATGGAGAAGATAAATGCTGATAAATGCAGCATGATCGAAATGATTCTAATCAAAGTAACAACAAGAAAAAAGCCTTTTTGGAAGTTATGTTTGACCATCAAACTACAGAAAGATGGTACAGCATGTCATGTGATTGGAAGTAAAACATTGCAGAGAGTACATCATCCATCCTAGAGATCTAGTTAATTTATCCTACCAAGGTCAGGTTAATTAGATGTTTGATGTCAGTTAAAAGTAACAGTCTTCTTAGCAATGCTGTAAAGCTTGAGTGCCTAGCCTTGCTATAGACGCACACAGTGGCTATACCTACCAAACCTACACAGTGCTTAGCCAATTTGTCCCACTTAGACCCACCCAAATAGCCAATCAGACACTGATCTGCTACCTAACCAACCCTTAGCCCCTTTGTTAGACGGTTAGCAGCCAAACAAAGAAAAAAAACCTAAATCTTACCATTACCACTGATGGTGTACTACTAAGGGCCTGTTTGGTAGAGATGCCCTAGAAGTGATTCTCTGTGAGACTCTGGGGAGATTCTATTATCTTAGTTCATTTCAGAGAGTCAATTCCATAGAGTGATTCCTGGAAACGGCCTTTCAGCAGAGGAGCAATTGACTTTGGGAGCTCCGCCAAACAGGTCCCAACTTAAATTGTGAAGAGTGATGGAAGCATGATTGCTCCTCAATCAAGAGACATTAAAAAAAGAAGAGTTTCCCATGTAACTTGATCCCATACGGGATGAACAAACAAATTAGCATTGAATGTAATTAAAATATAAGTTGAATTTTAAAAGATAATGTACTTTGCGTGCATCAAGTATATCCGTAAAATAAGCCCAGATAAAAAAAGGGTGTACCCAGTGCAGAGAGCTCCCGCTCTGTGCGGGGTCTGGAGAAGGGTGTTAGTGGCAAGCCTTACCCTCGCCTGTGCAATGCAAGAAGACCGCGACTCGAACCCGGGGCCTTCCGGTCACATGCGGTAAGACTCTACCGCTTGCACCAGGCTAGCCCTTCGTAAAATAAGCCCAGATATCCTACAAAAATGGGAAAAAACTTATCAGTTTCAGGATTCAATGATCTGTTGCATGGGCGTACCCACTGTAGAGAGCTCTTGTTCTGTACGGGGTCTGGGGAAGGGTGTCAGTGGCAAGCCTTACCCTCGCCTGTGCAATACGAGGAGACCGCGACTCGAACCCAGGACCTTCCGATCACAGGCGGTAAGACTATACCGCTTGCACCAGGCCCGCCCTTCTGTTGCATGGCACAAAAAAAGGAAAATAGCTGATTCATCACAAGCGTGTCGAACATACCTCAGGATAACTAAACACATCTTCACAAACATTAAATATAGCAAAACCTGAGGGAGTCTCGAGCAGCACCCTCCTGAACTCCATTTTATTGAAATCTACAGGTTCCCTGCCAGTGAAATTAAGAACAAAGAAAGTTAAAAGCAGCCATGTGATTACTTCACAAAGAAAACTAAAAGCAGCATGTACTTTGCTTTTTTCATCTCAAACTTAAGAAAAGTAACCAACATCCAAAGCCTAAGAATGGCCCAAACAAGGCTCCGGCCTCATAGCGCATCAAAAATGCCACCTGACACCATTCCTCCATGAGGATTGAGTTCTAGTCCAAATTAGGGGTGCAAATGGGGTTACCCTATTTAGTACAATGAAATGAACTACTTTATCAAAGAGTGCATGAATTTTGGGAAGTTACTTCATTTGATTGAACAAAGAGGGTCAGTGGGCACCCTAAGGTTCTCCAATTTACACACCTAGTCCAAAACACTTCGGTAGAAACAAGTACCTCATATTGTTGTTTAACAGATCTTTTTAGAAAGAACAAAACTAAGCTGCAAGAAAACCCTAAATTTCTTTTCTTCTACCATGATACATAAATAAATTTTAAAGAGATGTGGGCTATGATTCAACCTGCTGAGAGTTGTATTTCGCTGTGCATACTAAACTTGACAAAACTATAACCAACCCTCAATTAATGTATAGAGCAGATGGACGACAAGTGCTTACCCTACATCAACCCTTGATGTGAGATGAGAGATTTGAGAAGTGTCGCTTCCATAAGCTTCACATCCATAAGAATCTTGTCTCTCAGCTGAGGAACATACAAGAGGTAATCAAGGTATCCCATTATCTTTTCCAACTCATGCATAGTAAGGTCATCTTCACATTTAGCTTGAAACAGTTGAGCCTGATGCAACTTTGATGCCAAATCAGAAGAAAATGTCTACACAAAACAAAGCATGTCAAATTCATATATCAATTATCACTGAAGGACAAGTTTACGTGAACAATACATTATAAAAATCGACAACTTTTAATTAAGATTCGTTAACCTTAGAGAAATCACGTTCTTTCACCAACTCAGGAACAAGTACCATTGCAAGCACTTTCACATAGTCCAAGCCATCTTTAATAGTGTCACCAATCCCAACACACTCATCAAATGACCTCGACAATTCCTTTGGAAAACCCTCTAGATTCATGTCAAGGTAGCACAGGAAACCAAATTTAGTTATGAAAGTTTTGTCAACTTGAAATAGAGAGCAAGAGAAAAAAGGCGCAGCAATTAGAATCATGCTGCAAGGTAAGAGTTATGGAGGAGCTTCAATCTATAAACAAAATAAAGCTGAGAAATCACAGGGCATGTAAACTAGAAATACTAGTGTGCATATGGATTGTGATAAACAATAAATTGGATAGTTATTGAAATTCAAATAACAGAATTACTAATGTTTGGATACATGAAAAACAGTTCGAAAAATAATCTCTCCATTATTTAGAAGTTCATTGAATTAGAGAACACTCTGCTTATTATGAAAGGAAGAAAGGCATCGACAGTCCAAACAATAATTTGACCATGGGCAAATGCATCAATAACTTCAAAAGTGAAGGGACAAGAGGCACACAATATACTTAATAATGACTTGAATGGAAATAATTGTGATACATTCAATATAATGGTAGAAGAACATTTCTTACATACACTCTAGACAAAAACAAGAATTACATACACAAATGCACAAAAGTCAAGTGAGTTGAGTAGGAGTCTACTGATAAGAGAAAATATGGTGTTAAATAACAGCACAACAAGCTGGTGGGAATGCATGGCACGTATAGCTTAAACAATAATAGATGCTATAAATAAATACTTGAAATAGCAGCAACAAGAGGATAATTACCATTCTTGGCGGGATATTGACTAAATAATATTGTAAGGCCTCTTGCAATCACTTGCTCACTGGAAGACAATATTCCGGTGTTATATTGCGCTCTTCTTCACGTATAAATGCATGCAAAACATTTTTTATCCCCCATATCACCTCACCAACATCAGATCCATCACATCTACATGTGATACCCTGAAAGACATTTTAATCATTAGCAATGCATACTACATTAGAGTATGTAATGACTATCACATAAATAAAAAATTAAAGGCAACATATACTGACAATCTTTTTCTCCATAGAAGCTTTAAGTTCCTTATCTTGAACAATTAATGTCTCTCCAGTCCTACAGAATTTCATAATAAGTTGCACCAGATCCTTTCCAGGACCAGCATCACTATTCTGAGCAACAGATCTGTTATCAACTTTTTTGAAGCCCAAGGCAACAAGAGCCTGACATGATTTATGAAGAAAGTGAGAGCATGAATCATTAACAGATTACAGGCCTAGAGCAGCCATAAAAAGAGCCTACCAAAGGATATGATTGTGCCATGAACCATGTGGTAGTACACTAACAAACATCAATAATATGTTCATCTCTATTACTCTATTTGATGCAAATATTATGAAATATTTAATGATGGAGTGGTAGTAAAGAACTAACAAACATCAATAGTATGTCCAATTTTTATTTCTCTAAGATCCAAATGTTATGAAATCTTTAGTTATGGATTTATCATTTACAAAGAGAGGCCAACATAACTACGTCTCAAGAGACCTTAATAGAATACAAGTATTCAGTCCTACAGAGATCGTGTCCATCCAGGATCTTGTGTGGAACAACATATTATGCAGTAGCTGTAATGTACCAGAATTGCGCATTCTGGATCCGAGAAGTGCACCCAGATATTCTGTAAAAAGGCCGAAGAACAAATAATTGGCATGTAGGCTTACAAAACAGTTGCAGAGCCAAAAGCAAGAAAGGAATGAAACCGGATAATTCATCACAGGACAACATATTACCTTGTCTTGTTCGAAAGCAAAATCCTTAACAAGGAAGACTGCGAAACCAGTGGGCGTCTCAAGCAGCACCTTCCTTCCCTTCAAATGTTCCGTATACACACTTTCAAACATTTTCCAGAGCAAATCAAGAGTCAAGATTAATGGATCATGGAAGGGTAAGGAAGAGTGGCTGTCTAGCAATCATTCAAATGTATTCTGCTCTAACTTTTTTCCCAAACTAATAAACAAACGGATCAAATCGAATGCAGAAACAGCTCTCCAAAACTAACCCTCCAACCAATAGCACGACCCACCGTCATTCCTCTACATTCTACAATGACCCCTCATACACTAGAGGGGCATTATTCTTTCCAAGCCCTCTCATTGTCCTTGAAGCAATCAGTCTGAACCAGATCTGCCATGTTTAGATCAGTGGCCATATGCCTATATCTAAAAGGTTTTATGTTATCTACCATAAAATTTCAATTGGGTCCTAAAATATCTCAGAAAAATACCGCAATAATCCAACCAGTACCCTCCAATTCAATCACTCTTGTCCAAATAATTTCTGGACCTATCGATTAACATATACCAAAACAAAATCGAAATCAACTAAGCAAAGACTTTAAATCCGGATTTTTTTTGGGATGCACACTATATTCCATTGAATCCTTCCCGAGCCGAGAGATAATTTAAGCCCTGTTTGACACAGCTGAAACTTATGAAGAAGCCTGCCTATTTCTGGCTACCCTGAGAAGCTGCTGCCCAGAGAAGCAGCAAAATGGATGTTTGGCAGTCTGCTTTTTGTAAGGGTTTGTAAGATATTAAGTTCTGTTGGAAAATGAGAAATGTCTGAAATTCCCATGAAGACTTAACACATATATTTACTAAATAAGGGTTGATGTCACCGTTCTATTTTGTTAGTCACATGATAATAGGCATTTTAAATATGCAAACACATCACAAAATAAAGTTTCGCCACTTTAAGCAACAAAATACATGAATGTATACAAAGGGACACTCTACTTTTACATCATCACTACCCTCCCAGCAAAGCTTGCGCAATAGCATCACGTGTGACTCCCATATCTCCATCATCCATAGCATCACTGATGTAAGGCCCCATATGCCCATCGACGTAGGGATGAGTAATGTCTTCTATATCACATAGTCAGCTTTGGTATCCCGTCGATTTTTCATTTGACCACTAATTCCTGCCAGTGCGTTCATTGAACTGGGCAACCAGGTTGGCATAACCTTTGGTATTCAAGCAACTGTTTGGTCTATTATTTGCAAGCACTTGTTCCACACATATGCAGGGACGGGCCCAGTAAAGGACATGGGTGTACAAATGTACACCTAATAATTTTTGCAAAGCAATCGAAGTTAGTAGGCATAATACATGCATATACACATAGATTCAGATTCAATTACGACAGGTTAGGGTTTGGACGCATGGTTTTACATACAAATTACGTTAAAGTTTAGGCGCACAGCCTCGCACAGCAGGAAGGAAGGGAGGACCAAGGGAGTGTCCTGGTGGTGCTCCGCCAGTCGAGCCCGTCTAAGAACGTCGCCGCCGCCTCGACGGCAAGACCCGTTCTCTATACATATATATTATTATCTTATTAAAATATATGCATTAATTGACAAATGGCTATATTTATTTATTCATTTATTACGGAGGAAGGCTCCCTGCACAAGGCCCATCCAATCCAGATCAGAATGCGTTTCGTTTGTATTTGGGCCTTGAAACAGCCCAGTTAAAAAATTATCCAGGAAGAGAAAAAAACGAAATTGACCAGTGGAGGGCCTTGAAACAGCCCAGTTAAAAATTATCCAGGAAAGAGAAACGATTGACCAGTGGGGCCTACATGTCACCCTCGCGGAAATAAAGCGGCAGTGCGGCACTCCGCCGGAACACACGATTGGACCAGTGGAACACTCGCCCATCGCACCATGTCGGCCGCCGAAACCGCCGTTTCTCCGGCGCCGCAGCCGCAGCTGCAGCCGCCATCGGGTCCGAACGCCGCCGCCGACGCCGACGCGGCCCATTCCAACTCTCTCTCCATGGCCGATGAGACGCAAACCCTAACCGAGGCCCTGCTTCAGCCCCAACCAAACCAGTTGTCGCCGCCTCCTTCCGGGGAAGAGGACGACGGGGTCACTGCCTCCAGTGCTCCCGTTAGTGGGGACGCCGCGGCTTCCGCTGCTGCTGCGGCGGCGGCTAACGCGACGATGGAGGAGCGGGTGAGGGGGCCGTGGTCCCCGGAGGAGGACGCGGTGTTGAGCAATCTGGTGGAGAAGCTCGGGGCGCGGAACTGGACGCTGATCGCGCGCAGCATCCCGGGCCGCTCCGGCAAGTCCTGCCGCCTGCGCTGGTGCAATCAGCTCGACCCCCAAGTCAAGCGCAAGCCTTTCACTGGTACCCCTTCTCAATCTTTATGTACATTGCGATTTTTAGCCCATGACAAATGTACCCAAAAAAACTTTTGCATTTGCAATATCTATGTGATATGTTGTTCTGTGGTTACCTTTATGGATTTGATACATGGTCCATTCTGTCGTTCATCCGGATCTTATATGCTTCTATGTCTTGCTTGTTAAACATGTCACCTTTCTTCTGCAGAAGAGGAGGACCGTATTATAATGGCAGCTCATGCTGTCCATGGGAACAAGTGGGCATGTATCGCAAAGCTTTTGGATGGGAGAACCGACAATGCCATCAAGAATCACTGGAATTCCACCCTGAGGCGTCGATACTGCAATGATGGCCGATGCAAGCATGGTGGTTCTGTGCAGCGAAGTATCCCGGAGGTGTCCAGGGCAGTTTCAGAAGAACCTTGGCCTTTAAAAGATCTGAGTTCCTTCACCGCTATGGATGTAAGGGATGCTCCTGTGCAAACAGTTCCAGAGACTTCTGCTGGGGCATGGCACATCACAGATCAGTGTTCTATTACTCAAGGTGTTGATCCACCCTACCTGTCCCGACCAGCTGCAAAGATTGGTGCTTTCAGACCATACAATCTAGGACACACGGAACCTACCCAACAAGAAATGCCAAGTTCTGTCGTCAAGTCTGACTTGACTCATAAAGTCTTGACTCCTGAAAGTGAGGTTTTCAAGTTTGTTGATCCTATATGCTTTGCTGCTGAGGTGCCAAACAAATGTGGGCATGGTTGCTGCGGTGCTCACGAGCAGCCTCATAAGAACTCGTTGCTGGGTCCTGAGTTCAACGAGTTTGAAGATCATCCACCGATTTTAAATACTAGCTTTGCTTCATTGGTATCAGAAATTAGCAGCATTGCCTGGATGAGAAGTGGTATGCAAAGCAGTGATGCCAGCACCTTGTTTCAGTCAGTTCCGCCAACCTGACAAAGTAAGAATCTTATTAACTTGCATGATGGAATATTTTGTAGTTGTTTGTTATATTCAGACATAGTGATGTCAGGTCATTAATTACAATCCTGAGGCTCACTGTCAATAGGCAATGATGCATTTTCTTTTGCAAGCTTTAGTTTATATTTATTTCGGTGTTTCCACCATAATATACTTCTGTGTTATTCTAAAGTAGATACTGTATTATACCGTGTGTGGATTGCTTAAGGCATTGGCCATGTTTATTTCATTGTATAAAAGATGCATGCTATTTGTTTGATGTTTGTAGTTGTCTTCAGTTCATTACAGGGCATTGAAGTAAAAGAAGTAAGCAGCCAAAATATGGACTGGTTGTCTAGAAAACATATCTTTGAAAAATGGTTCAGCGGTATGTTAACGAATTGGTGAAAATAAAATTAGGAGATCCAAGCTTAGCACGGTTGGTGGAAGTTGTCGGGGAGCAGTCCACCTGTGGGTTTGATCCCTGGTGCTCGAAATCAGGTAGTATAAAAGCTCCACGGTCCCTTTCCAAAAACTGAGGCGTTTTTCTAATTTATGGCTGTTATACTTAGCTTACGATAGAACTGTGCTACTGCAGATAATTAGTAACGGGATAATGATTTGATAATGCTCTTCCTGTAATGTCTGCTTGTGCAATAAGTTTGTTCCTTGAGTCATTTCCATGCTGTTTTATTGCATGTTTGTTACTTTCTCCATTGGGTCATGATTATCTAGGTTGCTTGTGCATGATAATTCAAGTTTTCATACAGCATATGGTTTACTTGAATGTGCTTTATGGATTCTCGTACAGATTGTCTTTTACATTAGTTCCGTCTATCATTTGTGGTACATACTATAGTTTAAGGCAACAACACATTTCATGATGCCATTTGTGTAATCCACATAGCTTCTGAATTAGAAACATATTATGCTTACAAATTTTATGCTATTGTCAATGAAGATATATTCTTTTTCTTCACTTAGGGTCTGATGTAAATATATATGCTATTCACACCTCTTTTTGTGGTATTTTGTTTGGTATAACATGATCACTTAATCTCGAAAGGTGCTATGTAAAATTAGCTCTTGAGATACTTTAATATATGCATCACATGTCTTCAAATTCATTTTTTGTTCTTCAAAAAGTATAACTTGTTATATATGTTTATGTAATGTTTGATTGGTATCTTTTCGCAACATCGCTGAATTTTGGTTCTGAACAGATGTAATCTGGATTGTGTATTTGTGTTACTTAATCCATGACTATATTCAGTCACAATTGGTGAATCTGAGAGTTTGTGCGTGTTCTTTTGGGTGGTGCGGGGTCTCTAATGGCTCTCTTTCTTTGCCTCTTTGGTGAACATGACATTCTGTTTACCTTCTACCTGGGTTATGGTCACTAAACGAAATCTGACTTCAATGCTATATGCTTCAGGACATGTGGCAGTTTCTTCACTTTGCACTTTGCTTTCTCTGGAAATAAAAATGTTTCCTTTTGTTTTCCTAAATTGGAACAGAATAAACAGATTGCCCTTTCTGTGCACTCATGACTCAGCATCATCTCTTATGTAGCACTGGTATCACTGTATTTGCCTTGATTCGGAGTATCATGTGTAAATCCTGCATTCTTTTATGTCTTGCAATGGCATAAAGTTAGTGACCATTCCGTCTTCTACAAAGTTTTTTTTTTAATTGCGATCTTCTACAAAGTATATACTCCCTCTGTCCCAAAAAAAGTGCAATTCTAGATTTGAACTAAGTCAGGTTTTATTAAGTTTGACTAAGTTTATAGAAAATAGTATCAACATTTATGTCTCCAAATAGTTTTACTATGAAAACATATTCCACAATTAACTAATGATATTTATTCGGCATCATAACTATTAGTACTTTTTCTATAGGTGAAACTTAAAATTTTTTGACTCCTTGAAAAGCGAGAGTTGCACTTTTTTGGGGACAGAGGGAGTAAATCCTAAATGATAGTGGTGACATCAACTGTAGTTTTTTTTTATGGTCGACGGAGGGGGAGAGAATCCCCCACCTGGATATTATATCATTTGGCTTAAAAACCTGAGTTGAAGAGTACAACTTTGATGAAAGAAGCAATTAGAGCAGTGGATACATCAATAGATTGCATTGCCTGTAGTTTCTTGTCTCTTTCTCTTTCATGTTCCTTCACAAGTTATCTTTTCTAGAGATCAGATTTCTCTCAATGTCATCATTGCTTCTGCTGTCTGTCCAGTAGAGTCCTGTGAAAAGCTGGATTCCTGTCTTCCTAGCTCCTAATGATGCTTGTTGGAGACAGCCAGGAATATGACTCGTCATTATCAGGATGAAATGCTCTTTTTTGGTGATAAGATGAAATGCTCTTGTTATTTGTGTGATAGTTGGTCAGTGCAATCATGTTAGGCTGGTAGCTGGTTAGTCTTGCTTTGATTAGACAGCATATTCTGCTTTGTAACTATCAGAATAGTTCAGAAATTTTCTTGCTTTCAAGTTTCTATTTGCTTTTTCGTTCTATATGTCTCGTCTGCATTTCCCTCCACCCTTGTAGTCTTGTTGTGATGTCTGTCGCCAATTGGTTTCCTTCTGAGGGATTGTAAACAGTGGCTATTCGTAGCACTTCTTACTATCTTACTGCATGATCAATATCTGTACTAATCGTGGCATCCTCTAATTGTTCTCTCTGGTCTCCTTGCTCTGTGCTGTTGCTATCTGGTTTATGGTGTTGCTGGAGCTTTTAATTATGTGCCTCCACCCATCGCCTAGTTATTGATAGCACATGCAGCCTAACATGAGCTTCGACACGCACGTGGTTTTGGTTTATATGGGATAGTATAATCGCTGAATCAATTCAGATTTCCTGCCTTGGTTGCCAGGATTAGGTCCTGATGCTCCGTAGGCATTTGGTGAGGAAAATCTTAGAAGTTGTTCGGCTGATAAGCCGGGCTGATAAGTTCAAGAACAGAACCTTAGACTCTTAGACTAGACGCATAAATGTTATTGAGTCTTTTAGAGCGCACGACCAGGCAAAGGTGAAAGCCTACTTACCTAGTGATGAATGTCTTGCAAGATTGCTCCTTTGCTAATGCCTGATTTTTGTCAATTTGGCACCTAATCAGTTCAGACATAATGCACCTTCTATCTTCCGAGCTGCTGCTCCATCCTCCATGGATGCAGTTCTTTACAGCCCTTTGGGTGATGGGAGTTGCAGGAACGTGCGTGCCCCGGTTGCCACCAGGCGATGGGCCTGGTGACCCCACGCTATTCGTTGTAGGATGCGCCTGTGCCGATGTGGAGATTGAATATTCTGTCCATCACGGGGCCCGGCCATGGCCCATGGGGGTGCTGATTGGGAACGGGAACAGCTCGATGCGTCGGGAAATTATGGGGTTTGTTAGGATTCCAATTAGATGAATGAATAGCGCTGGTTGCCTTGGGGTAGATCTCACTGAGACTGAGTTTTGTTGTGGTTGGATTAGCTATCGGTGTTGCCAGCCTCGAATGATTTGATTTGATCTCCCTAGATTCCTCCTGCCTGTGTCGCATGTGTTAGTTTTGGGGTGGCATCTGCACACAGGCTCAAGCTGTGAACTGTGTGAAGGCGTGAAGCAGAAGCTACTTCCTAACTTGGATCGAGATCACGAGACTCTCTTCATCCGGCTCGGTGCTCCTCCATCCAACCTTTTCTCCTGGCATTTTATAATTAATGTTGAAGCATATCCTGGCATTTTCTCCTGGAGTAGGAGTAGCAGGCAGCACACGTTTGGAGACACTGACAATCATGTTGTAATAATGATTTGTTGTGCTGAGAATATAGAGGCCTCTCCCTTTCCAACTATCTGCTCCAGCGTGGATAATTGGATATAAGCGTCACCGCTTGATGCCGCGTCGAGTTCACAGGACGCATGCGGCTAGTTCCCTATGGTTTCCACTGGGCGCGCGGCCAGGAGACGCCATTGGTCTCGCCGGTGGCTCCGCTCTGCAACCTGCCGAAGCCACACCGCGCATGGCTCCCACTCGGGTCACACGAGAGCACAGTTGCATAAACATCTGCCGACGAATGAAGCCGTACATGCACTGGTACCGTACCCTGCCGGTCAAACTTGCAAAATTGTGGGAATTAGGCCACGTTTAGTTCCAAAACCAAATTCCCAAAAAGTGCTACTGGAGCATTAAATGCAGACGAAAAAAACTAATTGCACAATTTGGTTAGAAATTGCGAGACGAACGCTTTTGAGCCTAATTAGTCCATGATTGAACACTAATTGCTAAATAAAAATGAAAGTGCTACAGTAGCTAAATTTTCAAATTTCACCCAACTAAACACAGCCCTAGCGAGACCCGATGCGACGGCCAAACTCCAAAATGGCGCAACTTGCAGGTAGAATGGGATGAACAATGGTATGGAGAAAGACCTGAAGAGTCAAGTCTATGGGATATCGAAACCCAGAGAACATGGTTTTCTCCTCTCCATTGACATGGATATCTACTTGCTTAATTACCTTTTGCCTTTTTTATGAATTATTATCTTCTTTTCTATATCTTTTTAATCTTTAGTTTCTTTGCTAATGTCTTGATGGTCCATGAGTGTTACTGTAAAATTGTAGTCGTAGAAGTGTAATGGAAAGAGAATTTCGACTACTGTGTTGTCAATTTTGTTGTCATTTATACAAATGATGATGCATTTAAATAGGTGGACTACTTGAAACTGTGGAAGTTAATCTCACATATTTTCCTTTTATAGTTAAAATTTGTGCGTACCTGAAAAAGTTACTTAATGTGGTCCTTAGCGTTAGCACGGACAATATGCTAGTTTTTTTAATTATACTCTACTGCATCTATTAAAAAAAGAATACAATTCAAAATTAAAGTTCAAGTCAAACTTTTTAAAACTTCACTAATTTATATGGAATGTTGTTAAACTCCAGATAGGTATACCGAAAAATTAGGTCTTATTTCGTATGGCTCCTTCTCTCTTCACATGGTTTCTCCTTCTAAACTGTTTTTGGTAGGACTCCTCCGTAGAAGTTGAAACCGAAATCAGAGAGGAGCCCTACGGGTCTTAATCTCTTTAATATTAGAGTTAGCGATAGATTTAGTCAAACTTAAAATTATTTAAAACATTTTAATATTTGAAAAAAAACGAGAATTGCATGTTTTGGGACGGGAGAGTACCATCTTCCCCGCCTTTCCAGCATTCAGGTTCGCTGTTGCCATCACGTGAAAAAGTTGATATCGACCTGGAGCATCGCATCGGCAGTCGGCGGCAAGGTGCACGGGGGTGAGAGTGCCCGCGCGGGCGCAGGCGGCAGGCACAGGACTCCTGATGTCTATCAACCCTGCCCCGCAAAGCGACTGAGGCAAGGAAAGAGCCCGCGGAAAAGCAACGAGGAGGACAGATTCCGAGCGTGGGCAGAGATTGCCCGAAATATCTCGCGTCAGTGTCGAACCCAAATCAAGCCGCGTGACCATGGTCGCGGGCTCGCGGCTGATGCTCTCAAGGTCTCGGGCTGAGGTGGCGGTGGCGCCACTTCGCAGTGAGAGATTAACCAGCTGTCGGTCGGCCTCGCTGAAAGCTGAGGAAGGAGACGGAGTGGAACAACCAAATGGATGCCATGCTCACACAGGCGACCTCGTTAATTAAACGCGATGATTTTGCCTATCATATCATGGTGAGGTGAACCCGTCCGTGGCTGCTGTTCCTTTCGTGCCTTGCAAGCGCCGGCTGTGCGTGCCGTGTGTTTCTTGGCTGTGAATTCGTGGCTGTGAGTGCATCACCTGATGACGTTTCTTCTCGTGTTGTTGGAAATCAATGGGCAGTGGCACGGCCTAGGACGTCATGTGCTCATTCAATTCATGCAACCACCTCATGGCGCTGCTGTAGTCAATAGCTGTGGTTGCCAAACAGACTGGAGTCACCTTCCGATGACGATGTTCTTCTCGACACGACGACACCTAAATCATACGGATCAACTGAACGTGTGGCACGGCCTAGGGTACGTCCATGTGCTCATTCAGATTCATGCAACCACCTGTGATAGCGGCGCTTATTTGGTCAATATTAGCTGTGGATCAACTGCTCAAAAGATTCACTGGATTTTCACCTAAACTCCGTTTGTACCACAGATGTTGGCTAGCTCGACACGACGACACCTAAATCATACGGAGTACTGAACGTGTATGGCTAGCTCGTAGGGTAGACGAACCATCGTGCTGACTCCTAGTCCCAGAGTCCCAGGCACTGCAGACATATCACAAGTCTTGCAGTTGTTGCCCCCTTGTACAGTAGAACTAGTCTACTCCACGTCCACGGACGACGGGAGACGGGTCGAGATTCGAGACGACGAGCCTGTGGGGCTGGCTGAAAAAACGATAAATACTGATGCTACACTCTTATTTCGACTGAGGGCCTGTTCAGATGCAGAAAAATTTGGTAAAATGATCACTAGAGTAGTTTTCGTTGTTATTTGATAATTAGTGTCCAATTATAGTCTAATTAGGCTTAAAAGATTTGTCTCGTGGATTTCGTCTAAACTATGTAATTAATTTTATTTTTTATTTATATTTAATACTTCATACATGCGTCTAAAGATTCGATGTGACGAAGAATCTTGAAAATTTTGGCATTTTGGGAGGAATTAAACGGTACATGAAACGGTGCGGCTGACAATGTTATGCGAACAGGGCGTACGTCTGCCTGACTCCATATTTGCGACTCTCTACAGCGTAGCGTGTGGCGTCAGCCGTGTAGCCTCCACCCGCTTTGGTTGGATTCTTGTTGCCGCTTCTTCTCGTGATCGGCCGCATTGGGTTGGGGACTCTTCACGTTTGCTTTCCTGGACGCCGCCTGCAATAGCGCGGTACGATTTACTGCGCGCTTTCGGCGTTTCTTGTCTGCTGCCTTCCCAATTTGCTCTTTATCCGGAGTGGATGCCGGAGCAATATGAGTGATCCCTTTCCGTTTCTTGGATTAGCCCCGTTGGCCATGGTGAATGGCGGCGAGCAATCGGCGATCACCTCCACCTCCACCGCTAGCGCCGCCGCCGCCGTCGAGCCTGGCGTCGTGGAGAGGGGCCGCGTGAGCGGCGGCGGGCGGCGGCTCGCGGGGGAGAGCTCGGACGAGGAGGAGGGGAGCCAGCGCTTCTCGGATGCTGAGGACCGGTCCTGGCACTCACACTCGCGGCAAGGCTCCGCCTTGGAGGACTGTATCTCCACGTCCGCGCCCATCAGCTGCGACGCCGGCGCCGCCAGTGCCGTCGGCGTGGACACGGCCACCGAACGCGCCAGGAAGTCGTGCGTGTCGGAGTGCTCGCTGGACGACGACGACGACGTCGTCGACCTGGAGGCCGGGCTGGCCGAGATCACCAAGGCCAGCCCGGACAAGTTCGAGAGGAACTGCCGCATCTGCCACCTCGGCCTGGACAGCGCCACCGCCGAGTCCGGCGCCGGCATCGTGCTCGGCTGTTCCTGCAAGGACGACCTCTCCCGTGCCCACAAGCAGTGCGCCGAGACCTGGTTCAAGATCAGAGGCAACAAGTAAGCCCACTCACTGCTATCTCCATACAAAATCCTCTTTGCATGATTGCCTTTACATGTCAAGTTTACAGTTATTACAGGCTAGAATTAAAATATCTTCATGTGTTTACGAGTTCTTTGCAACTGCAAACCTGGCTTTTGTGATGAAAAAAAACATGCCATGTGTCTGCACGAACATGTGGCTAAGGAATCTGTAATTGGAATTCGATATTTTGCTTTAACTAGGTGGGTTGATAAAGGTTTCAAGGGGATGTGGTGGTGGGGATAAAGTGGAATCGGTTGTAGTTGATTCGTAGGTTATGGAACATTGGAGAGTGGATAAAGTAGGATTCCCTCTTTCGGGCTGGCTCTCTCGCAGATTCCTGTGTAGTTCTCTAGATCCTGAATGTGAGTCACTTTGTTATGGTGGTCCTGGTGCGGTGGTGCCATCGTGTCGGCTTCCACTCAAGTGTTTACTTCATGCAAAACTTGTCATAGTTCACCCAAGATGGGTGTGCCAATTGTTTTCCAAATAGTTCGTTTAGGCTGAGAATTCCACATATAGGATTTAGGACTGGAGTTTATAAGGGTTATAAGCTCTACCGGTCACTGAATCCGAAAATTTGCTCTGCAGCTGTGCTTTTCGTGTCAAACATTATTCAGAAGATGCTTAATCTAAAACAGTGTATAGAGTGGCTGGTGCAGTTTCCCGTCACAATCAGGTATATAAATACTAGATTTGTATAGAGTTACAAGCTCAATTGGAAATGCTGGGCACCCCTCAAATTGAAAATCTTTCTCTGGCTGAGGTTTAAAGGTTGCCACTGGACCGCTGATTGTTGACAGTGCCATGGACTTGAAGCAAGTTCTGGTTGTTACCTCTGTGGTCAGGAAGACCGAGACGTGTGATCACCTCTGTTTCCTGTTCATACACACTACAAATATGGTGTAACATCCTGTCAGGGCTAGGAGTGGCATGTCCCCAACCGTCAGAGAACCAATCGATATAGGATTGGTAGCTACAACTACGTGGCGCTTGGAGGAGGATCAAAACAGAAGGGGTTCAACTCAGCTCTTCGCTCTAGTAAGCTGGCAGGTCTGGAAAGGGAGGAATGCCCAGTTGTTCCATGGAGAAACCTCGATGATTAATCAAGTGCTGCTCAAAATCTGCCAAGAAGAGCTCTGGATTGAAGCGGGTGCCACAAAGCTAGGCTGTTTAGTTCATTCGTAACAGAACAACTGCTACTTTGTTTGATTCAATCCCACTAGCAAGGTTGTCTGTTCATCTGTAATAGCTTCTAGTGAACCAGGTTGACGAGCGGTGATGCTATGCGTGTTGTAACAAACTCTTCTATCTTAATACAAAGATACGCAGGCCTCATGCGTGTTCGAGAAAAAAAGTCTAGATTTGTGGTTTGCAGTTATAGTAAAAATGAAGTGGGGAAAGGCACATTCCATAAGAGGAGAACCTGAGTTAAGGTACATCAGTAGAGCCTTATTTCTGGACTTTCTCCTGTGCACTCTCAGATTTTTCATCAACCATGTCTGTAGATCAAACATACATGAAAATAACTTTTCACCAACATATCATCTTGAAGAAACGTCAATTAAGAAAAGGATGCATCAAGTACCTTCAATTCAAATGCAAACATCCAGATGAATTTTGGTGGTGGTGTGGTGGTGGTGGTGGTTGGGGGGGGTATAGATTTTCAGTTGCTTTATTGTCAAGGTGTTATAGCCAAGACTTTTACTACTTATGTCTATAACAGCAATCTTTTTTTTCCCAAAACAATGGATGCGTCTTTCCAAACCTCCTAGTTATTTTGGTATTATTGAAAATTATGAAAGTGAGTTTATATTGTTATGCATGATATCAATAGACACCCTCTTGTGTTTAATGATTAATCACTTGAATTGAGGTAACCATGAGAAGTATATAAATGGAGTCAAGATAAAAATGCAAAGATGCATCAGTATCCTTACAAAATCACTAGACATAACTTTGTTGCTCTAGTTCAGATGAAACTAGGCCTATGGTATCTGTTCATCTTGATTCAGTTTGTATCATATTAAAGCTTTGCGTTGCTTGTGGTATAGTATTTGAGTAGTTGCGCATTATGAAATATGTTGCCCTGGTGTCATTTTAAGTAAATTTGCATCGCAACATATTACTCAATGCAAACAAGGATCTCTTTTAAGTGTCTCCATCCCTTCTTTCATTGTCTTAGGATCTGCGAAATCTGTGGCTCAACCGCGTGCAACGTGGCAGGTTTCTGTGATGCGGACTTCATCGAGCAGTGGAATGAATCAAGCAACACTGCATCTGCCCAGGCAACAGCCACCGAGCCTCGGAGATTTTGGCAAGGGCACCGGTTCCTCAAATTCCTTCTCGCTTGCATGGTGTTTGCGTTCGTTATATCCTGGCTCTGCCACTTCAATGTTCCTGGATGAGTACTCTCTTGGTGCACATTGTTCTTAATAAAAGCTCCAAAACCATGACAGACGAAGTATGGGCAAGTTTCAGAATGCAAATTGGCTGAGAAAGAACTGGAGATGAACAAGAGTTGCTTGGGTGAAATGAAGAGTGGTGTTAATTTTGTAGAGTACGACAACACATGCCGCAGAAAAAAGAAAAGAAAAGAAGGAAAGCGGGCTATTCTGTAAAGATTGGTTTGTGAGTGGTGGTGAATGGGGAGTGGAAGATCTTATTTTCCATTGCGTCATGCTTGCATGATTTGTCTACCTTCTGGGTAAGTAGGTTATTAGATCTTGTAGCTTAGTTGGTTACATTCTTGGTGGTGGAATATGTCTATCTAGGTCGAACAGGTTATGTGCTCGACTTTGCATAGGGGATCATATTGTCTTGGATTTATTCCAGAAATAAATGATGCTATATGTGGTGGGCGGTGTACTCGTTGACAGTGAGGTTCAAATAGGCCATGCAAGAGGCGTTGCCGCCGAATCAAAATAGGACATCCAAGGGGCAGGAGGGCCGCCGAATCCCCATTATTTAGGATGTTTTGCAGGACACTGCACCTTGTCCAGGACAGAATTCATGCATCCTAAACAGGCAGCAGCTAGTACAGGATAGGCTTCTGGTCCATGCTTATGCCCTTCAATTCAAGCCGGTCTCACCGGAGCTCGTCTTAGTTATGAATTATGATAGCCACTCGATGGTTTGATCTGCCCGAGAGGGAAGGATCAACGTACCCAAACCAAACGGCAGCATCAGGTTCCGTAAGTTTAAATAATCAGTACCGATGTACTCCAGTCCAGCTCCAAATAGCCAAACGTGTGGCTGGGTCCGGTAACATGCAGCTTGCCGCGATTGAAGGAAGATGCACTCGAGCTACGGCAAATCAGCACTTATTAATTGCACAACATTTCAGATGAATCTTCTTCAAAAGATACTCCTATGTGCAAGTAATTGCCAAGTTGGCAACATTTCTGATTTCTGCAATTGCACGGTAGAAGTAGCACAAGCACAAACAGCTATTTATTCAGAGAGATTCAGACTGCAACTGTTGGCTATTATGGCAGAAATGGGAAAGCTTTTATCGGGCCTATTCGCTGGTTGGTGCTGGTGCTGGTTTTTTGTGAGAGGAAAACACTCTTGGCTGACTGGTTTAGGCTGGCTGAAACCAACAAGCGAACAGGCTGATCATCGTGTAGACTGTATGATAGATGTCATAGTGGAGCAGAGCAACTGCCATATATCGCTTGACAAGCCGTGCATTGCATTCAGTGTACTCGGGCCACGCACCTGCACGGCTGCACCGCTGACATGGGTATGGGTAAGCGCCGCAAATGCAAACCGGCCATGTCACATGGCAGGAAGCTCCGTGCACGGAACGCAGCGGATGCATGTGCTTTACATCATCCGCTCGTCTCGCGGCATCCCCAGTCAAGCGCTGCCTTTTTTTTCTTTAAGGGCGCCATACCCGTGAGCGGGTGAGCCATTCAGGTCTCGTGAGCCCGGGGGACGGTGGTCTATCCCGTCACTCGATTCGATAAGTGGTGGTTGGAGATTCAAAGATCAAAGGGGCGTATCACAGTTCACAGGGCTCCAACAAAAGCGATCATAACAGTTTCTAACGTTAAACTACCAATCAGCATAAGCTAGTCATTACTCATTACCAAAGATGAATACTTTTTTCTTTGGGGATGAGAACTAGCTGAATCTAATCGATATATACATAAAACATCAATTTCTCTCTAATATCATCGGTTCTGAAAGGTCTTAAGGATGCAAAACTGTAGCTGCGGCCTCTGAGAAAAGCCACGAGATTCTGATTCTATTACAGTTTCTACCACTACTTCAACACCTCATTTATCTGTCATCGGGCCATGGAGAGCAGAACAAAATGCTGTTGCAGCCTTGCGGGTACCTGAGAAGCCCTTCATCATACAGTGATACAGAGGCACACCACGCAATTTCTTTTTCCTCGCAGACTCCCGTGGATGTTAAAGACAATATGACAAAGAAAGGCTGCTGATCATGTCCCAGTAGGGGTGGCATCAGACACTGTGTGGTTCATGTCTTCTCCATGCTTTCCATTCATCTGCACTCGTTGTCGCTGAAATAATCAGAAAAAGATGTATCACGAAAGCTCAGTACCAAAAACACGAGGTTATGATGTGATGAGCTGCAAAAGCAGTGATATATAATACAATAGTTCATTTTAAATTTGTGCATGCAGCCGTGCACTGAAAGGTACCCCAAACCATTTACGATAATTCAGAAATTGTGAGGTGATAAGAAATGTTATAGTACCCAATCTGTAGCATCGACAGTGTTTCCATTTAACAATTTATGGAACTCATCCATCATCCTCCCGTCCTTCTCAAGTTTATGGAGTTCTTCCTTCATCTTGCCGTCTTTATCCTTTGTGCTTACTGGAAGCAAAGATAATCCAGTTGTACGATCTGGCATTTCTGCAGAATTACCACAAAAGATTGTTACAGAATGCATCATATGGCTGATTTACATGACACAGGAGGGTATAAGATTGTACCTGGCAGCTT